TATCAATATGGATCACCAGATACACTACACAATGAAGGCAACAATCATCGCAATAACATCAATTCTTCATACATTGATGGTGTTAGTATCACTCGTGGGTCTTCTCGTCAACATGTCTGGTCACTAATGGCTGGTTACAGTGAAACAAGCTCATCAGCAACAAATAGATGTCCATGTAATGCTGGTAGTACAGTATCAGTGCCATCTTTCATTGGTAGCAACTACTTCTGTGAATCAGCTAATTCTATTACTGACTGGTCACAAATTTTATACACATCTGATCCACTCTGGGATGCTAAAAATTGTGCTACTACTGAAACAGCATGCTGTAATGTTCCTGGTATCCCATGGTTTCACAGAGACTATGGTAGCACGTACCACTACTGACTATATTGAGTTGAGGGTCTGTGGAGATGAGCGAACTGCTAATGAAGATGTTCCCGTTAGCTTTTATGAGCTTTATGTTAAGTAGTGACAAATGAGTGATGCTTTTAATGTACATGTACAATACAAGTTGTGTTGATGGTTGATTATCAATTTTTTTAGTATTGTGATCAAACTTTTTCTAATTACTAGTATTGTAATTACACATTTGTACTTAATTAACATCTATGAAGAGATGACATCACTTTTTGATACAGCAGTAACAGCATTGAGTGTATCAGTATTACCATGCAGGTATTACAATACTTATAAACACTTTGGGATACACTGGACTTTAGCAAGTAAGTATAAAGTAATTATAAGTAACTATAAAGTAATGAAATAGAATAGTACATACATTACATACTGAATGCATTTAATTTATACATTAAGAGTCCAGTGTGTCTGGAGGTGTGTGTCTATAAGTAATGTAATACCCGAGGACTGAGGTCTCTAGATGCTTTGGGTTAAGAATATTATTGTTTGAGGCTTAAAGCCATTCACAATTTTTGATGTGGTAAGGAGATATACTTGTACCGTAAATGTAAAAAAATTTGTTACAATTTAATTTTCATGTTTTTTGTTGAACAAAAAATCCACGAAAATAAAAATTAACTCTTTCTGTTCTGATCACGTGCATGTACACGTTTAGCAACAAACAAACACACCCCACAAAAGTTAACTCCAGCAAAAATTAATTTCTGGGCCTTCTGGAGCCAAACCACGAATTGTTTTACCACGAATTTTTTTACGTTTACGGTATGTATGTACATTTGTACATCATTTGGTTGAGTAGTTTTAGTTTGTATCAAATACCTGGTAATTATGTCTGTAGCATAGTTGCTCAGATGCACCCCAAATACCACAACAACAACAGTAAATTTTTTGTCTTGAAGACGATGGAAGCAGAGAGAGACTATGATTATGAGATGTGTGCACCAGATCCTGTACAAAGTCAAGAAGATCCTTATGAGCTGGTTTATTTCAATACTAATGTAAGGAAGAATGATGATAGCAATCATCAATCAACAGGAGCTGTTAAGGAGACTACATCAAAGCAGTCAACCTGGAGCAAGCCATTAGTTGTCATTGCTATACTGCTGTGTCTTGTTGTATTGCTACTCCTGACAATACTTTGTTTATCACTGGTTCAACTGTTTGCTAGAGATGCTACCAGTACCAGTACAACTACTACTGGAGCTACTGCTGGTAACAATGGATATCCTAACTTCACTCAATGGGTTAATGATATAGTATCTAGAGTTAATGGGAGCCTTCCTGACTTTAATGAATGGGCTAATGGTGTTGTCTCTAAAGTTAACAGCAATGTAACAGGGAGCCTTCCTGACTTTAATGAATGGGCTAATGGTGTATCACAAAATACCCTTCGA